AGAGGAGATTGAACAGAGATAGAGATTGACAGAGAGACAGAGATAAGAGACAGAGAAAGGGAGGGAAGAGCGAGGGAGAGGGAAAGGAGCAGACAGGAGAAAAAGAAAAAAAGGAGAAAGGAAAAACATGAGAGAAATGTGGGAGAGAAGAGGGAGAAAGACAGGAAGAAAGAAACAGAAGAAAAAGATAAGAAATGTAGAGGGGGAGAGAAAAACCAAGAGACATCAAGGAAGAGACAGAGGGCAAAGGTCATTTATCTTGTAAATTTTTTTTTGAGGAGCAAAAACCAACCAACCCTCCAATGCGGAGTCCATCAGTTCAAGGAACATGCGCATCATGGTTGGAACAAGGCAAAAGAGAAACAACTTGGAGGAGGCAGGGTTGGCTCGTGCCCTGTCATTTGTGTAGTTGGGGGCTCCCTCCCAGTGCTGCCAAGATGGTGATGGTGCAAGGGGAGAAGGTGGAGGAGAAAGGGGGTAAAGTTAGAAGTTAGAAAAGGAGGAAGAAGAGGAGGAAGAGGAGGAGGAGGAAGAGGAGGAGGTCTTTATGGTTAGTGACAGAGAAGTGATGTGTATGTTCTTTCCAGTGACGCCCTATAGCTGCAAACCACAATTTCCAAAGAATCAGAACTGAAGGTCACCCATAGGGCAATGGAACTGAACATGGATGGTCGGTAGTCTGACCACCAATAACTCATCCTCAGGGAGCAGAGGAGGAATCCCCCAAGACTTGCTTTTGGAACAGGAGGGGAGCCCATGCCTATGCTTGCTCACACATGTGCGGAGAGAGCCTTGCCAAGCTGTGCTGGTGCCTGGGGAAGTCTCAGTCGGCTGCCAGTGTGTGGAGTGGATGGACTCCTTCCAGAAGGTGAATAGACAGAGGAGCTTCACCCCACAGAGAAGGCTGAGGTGGGCTGTGATTTGCCCGCAAGGAGGGGCAGATCTGATGAGGCATTGGAGCACTGAAGGCAGGACCCAAATGTTCTCCAGGGCCCTGTGCCCACTGGCTGTTGCCTCAGACACATGGTGCCTACTCCTGCCTTAGCAGTCCTGCCTCCCTGCCTCAGTTTGCCACCACATCTAGAATATACAAGGTATAATCACTGCACAGAAAAGCAGTCTCATCTCTCGAAAGCAGAAGGAATATCTACAAAGTCGCTTGGGCTAATAACCCTGACTTCACATGATGAAGGGATGGGGCCAACTGGGTGGTCAGAAGGGGCAGTGTACAGCAGCAGAAAGTGCTGAATTTGGAGCCAGAGGGTCTGAAGTCAAATCCCAGCTATACCTCTAGGTCACCTACATGACCTTGGACAAGTCACTTTGCCTTTCTGGGCCTCAGTTTCCCCATCTGTAGAATGAGGAAGTTGAACCCAGTGGTCTCCAAGGTCCCAGCCAGCTCTAAATCTGTGTCTCTCCAGGTTGGGCCCCCTCAGGCAAGAGTTTCTCACTGGCCAGACTGTCAGGGGCCCATTTGAACCATTCCAGAGTGGCCCTGAATTATTGCAGCAGCACCCAGGGGAGCCCTAATCCCGGGACAGTAGCTCTTTGTGTGGGCCCACTTGGGACAGTAGCTTTCGGGGATGGACCTGGACATCAAGGCCCAAGACTGAGCTGGACATCCCTGGGGGCTGCATGGAGGCAGCGTTCCAGTGCTTGGCTCAGTTATCTAGCGCGAAGTAGGCCCTTAATCAATAAGCATCTATTAAGTACCCACTGTATGCCAGAGTTGGCATCTTACTCTAGAGACCATGGGCTAAATGGAGGCAGGAACCACTTTCTCCTATAGATTTTCACTCTTCTACAGCCCTAGGAGAGGGCTCCACCACTGAGAAAGGAACGTGTGGTGGGAACTGGAGCCAGTGGACCTGGATTCCAGACCCAGAACTGCTGCTCACTACCCCTGGCTCAGGCCAAGCAGTTGCCTCTGCTGGGATGGGGTCCCAGAACCTGGCACGTAGGAGGCATTCTGGCTGATGGAGGAATCTGACACCAGAAGGGGCTTCAGAGGCTGCCAGTCCAACCCCTTAGTTTTACAGATGAGGAAACTGAGGCCCAGAGAGATGACGCGACTTGCTCAAGGTCACCCAGGCAATAAGTGGCAGAGGCACGATTTGAACCTGGGTCCTGCCACTCCTGAACCAGTGCTGTGGGTCTTCTTGCTGCCAAAGAGGCAACCCCCTGGGCTGGGGAAGCCAATGGGCAGTTGCAAATGTTAGAGGGCATCAGGTCCTTCCCCTATTTCCAGGTCAAGGGGGCTCCTGGGTGGGCTGTCCAAAACCAGAGCGACCCTGCCCTTTGGGGGTGGCTTTCTGTCCAGCAGCTCCGTGTAGACCCTGGACACTGGGTGTCTCCGGTTGGCAGCCCCCGGGTCACAGATAGAGGCCAGCCCAGCACAACGAGGCTGTTCAGAGAGGGTCTGCTCTCACCCTTCTCAACCCCGGGCCTTGGGGGAGCTGACCAGCCAGAGAGGACATGAAGGCTGGCGGCGCGAGCACAGAAACCAGCAGAGCCCGGTGCAGGGCTCCCTCCCTTTTCCCTTCCCCTTCCCCCGGAGCTAGGGAGGGCGTTTGGAGAGTGGAGCTGAACTGAGCTCTTCCAGGGCTGCCGCCAGTCCCCAATGAGTCCCCTGGGCCAGCTGTTCAGCGGGCCTCACTTCCTCTGGGGGAGGTGTCTGGAAATGAAGCTCTCCCACCATGGAGGGTGACAGATGCCCGGGGACAAATAGCCTAGAAAGGCAAGAGCCAGGAAGGGGCTGGCAGGAAGCGGGGGGAGGCAGCTGGGCATCTCCCCCTCCCCCCAGATCCTCGGTATAGGTGGGCCGTCTAGCTGCAGCACAGACTCAGGGCCAAGAGAGGCTGGCAGGTGATCACAGAGGAAACCCCAAGAGCAGCTTCCTGCTGCATCCACGCAGTGCACCAGAGCTTTGGAGGATGCCAGGCCAGTGGCTGCTGACGTTTCTTTCAGTTCCTGGGACTGAGGAGCTGTTCAAATAGTTTCCTGATGCCTCTCCTTCCAGCTCATTCCCCTCCAGACCCAGTCCTCCCGGCGACCATCAGGCAACACCACGGTAGACAGACACATCGACCAGCCCACAATCTTCTGCCCCCTCCAAAGAGCAATCCCCCCACGGGGAGGAGGGGAGGCTGCAAGCCTCCTCCCTCGGCAGGACTTTTCCATCACTCAGAGTTCAGCTTCCTTCCAGTGATCTGCTGGTTTACATGACTACAGAATGGGCCTGTGGCTTGGGTTTCTGCTCTTTTCCGTTTCCATTTGTTTCTACCCATCTTCCCGGGTTTCTCCACATTCCTCAGGGCCCTCATTTCTCAAAATATGACAACATTCTACTACGTTCCTGTTCCCTGGTTTTGGGGCCATTCCCCAATCCAGGGGCACAGTTTGTAATTCTTTGCTACCCCAAAGCACAGCACCATGGATAGTGTACTCTAGGCTGGACCTGACTTCTTGGAGGGTCCAAGTCCAGTTATGGGATTGCTAGGTCATAGGACACAGATCCCTTAATCGCTTTTCTTGCAGAATCCCAAAGTGAATCCCACAATTGTTGGACTTCTCAGCCCCCCTCGAAGCACCTCCAACATTGGCCGCCCCCATCCTTTGGCATCAGTGTTAATTTACCTGGTGCCGGGTGAGGCCCCATTTCTCTCCCCAGTCATCATTTGGAACACATTCTCATGAGCTCATTTCTAGTTCACGAATTTAAAAATTTTTTAAATTTGCTTTCTGAAAATAACAAACATCAAATAAAATGTACCCAGAACAGAGAGAGGGTTGTACATGAAACTGCAGATCCCCATTCTGCCCAGCTCCCTTTTCAAATATGGAATTATCAGATCCTGGAATAAACCAAAGCCTGAGATGAGGAATAAAGCATCTTTAATTGGGATAACAGGGCAACAGATCTGCCAGCCTGGGGGATGGCCAGTGGATTTCCCAACCAAGAGACTCATGAAAAAGTGTTTATATTTTCAGGAGAGAGGGAGGCAGCCGGAGGTAACAAGGCCGAGTCACGAGAGCCCAGCAGCCCTGGGCAATCCAGGCAAGGAAAGCCACTTCCTTCTGGCTGGTTTGCCAATCATGAATCCTAATGGAAGGGGGCAAAGACCAGAGAAGCTGAGATCCAGCTGGGCTTCCCCACAAGGCAAGTTCTCATGATGGGTGGATGGGGGTACGGTTCAGTTCAATCTAACGTCATTATTTGAGGGATAGGAGTGTGAGGACATTACTGGAATTTTGATTTTGTCATGATGATTAGAAGTTTAGGCAGTCCATATTACAATCCAGAGTAACAATTTTGTCATTTCATTAACAATTATATTAAGTTTTGCCAGAACGAAATTCAACGTGTAAGGCCCCAACCGGCCCACTGGTCTGTGATTCCCTCTGGCCTTCTTTCTCTTTTCTTCTGGACACTGATCAAAGTGTGAGAATCTCCTCTTGAAAACCATTCCCTGCCTGGAAAACGTCTCCTTGCTAGGAGCTCTTGAGGTTATGACTATCCCTTCTCTGTGGGCTCGGATGTCAGACTTTTATTGGCAAGATCGGACTGGAACCCTGCCTCCCACCTCTAATGCACCCACACACACTCGTTCTCTGCCTCCAGGATTTCCTTCGTCCTCAGGCCTCCCTCAGAGGCCAGGCCTGGTCCAGCCCTTCGAGACTGACTTTCTCACTCTTTTTAGACTGAAGAAGATGATGGCACTTTTTTTTCCTTTTTGCTCCATAAACTATTAGGTCAGCTGCCATGCAGAACGGGAGGGGTTTTCTGTCAGGGAAATGCGTCCCATGGGCCTGAGGACATCAAGGTCACAGAGCAGGGGGGCTGCAAAGGAGGGGATCAGGCAAGAGGTGGTTTTGTGCTGGTTCATTTTTAATTAAGCCTAATTTCTCAGAGTGACAGCAACATTCAAGATGGCCCAGGGAAGGAAGCAGATTCCCAGGCAGCTCCCCCTGCAGCCGGAACGAGACAGGCCACCAGCCGCCCCACAGAGGTCAGTCTGGACGTGTCCCTGGGGGAGAGCTTGGGTCACGTCTCCTGCGTGGTCAGCTCCAGGGACGGCTTCATCAAGGACAGCAGGTTCAGGGCCGACAGGCCAGGCACATGACCCGCACAGATCTGCAGAATTTGAATGAGGCGCTGGGCCACAGAGGCCCGGAAGCATTCCACCTGGAAGAGAGGACGGAGAACAAGAAACACCGTGGGTGGGGGGAAGGGAGCTGGACCTGTCCTTCCTAAAGCCCAACAGTCATTCATTGAACAAACATGCGGTGGGGGTGGGGGGACAGTGGCTCAGCCTGTCCTCCACCTTCCTCCTCCTCCTCCCAAGAAGCCCTCCCCCCTCCCCACACACAGAGTGCTGGCTCTGGCGAGCCCCCGCCAGATCACCCAAATCTCTATACGCGATGGGTCAGAATTCAGCCTCGACTTTGGCTCACCAAGATTTCAAACTCCAGGGTGCCGCCAGGTCTACCAACCATCTGGGGGAGAGGTTATTAGCATCACAAAGGCCTCTTCCCCCGCAGGGTTCACTTAAACAATGAGCCCCCACGAGCGGATTTAAAATAGGGTTCAATTGACAACAAGCCCGTGACTCACACCTTTCAGGAACAAAGCTGCTCCATTCCTGAAGAGCGCCAGGACAGCTTACAAAGTCAATCTTCAGGCAAAGCAGCCAGCCGACTTCTGATTATACCCACTGACACACGAGGAAACAAAAGCCCCCAAAGGCTAACGGCCTGCCCAAAGCGGCAGGGCTGGTGTGTGTCTGGGTTGGGGCCTGGCCCCTGGCTTTTTCACTGGGATCCAGAGAAACAGAAAGGAGAACTCTGGGAGGCCCCGGCGCTGTCCATGGTCCTTCCCTCTCCACCATCCACTTCAGCCCTGCAGGGTCAGCAGGGTAGGTCCATCCCTCCCAATAACAGATGAGGAAGGGAGGCTAGCAGAGAAGACTGACCGAGGCCAGAGCCCAAGGCTGCCACGCACCTGGGGGCTCACCAAACCCTAATGGGGTCGGGAGCCCTGCCCCGAACCTGCTGGGTCACCTCAGGAAAACGGCTTCCCCTCTCAGGGCCTCTGAATGGGACCCAGACCATGACCCAGACCCTGGCGTGACCGCCACGAATAGAGGCAATGCCCAGGGAGGAGAGATGTGGTTGCTTGGACAGGGCTGGGGAAGGAGGAATGGAAAGCGCTCGGGAGTCAGAGGAGCCGAGTTCAAATCTCCTCTCTTCGGCAGGCCTTGGGTGACCTCCCCAGGCCTCTGTGAAATGAGAGGGCTCCACAGCTGGCCTCCGAGGTCCCTTCACACTCTACACCCAGTGTCCTAGGGGTCTGGGGGAGGACAAGGGGTTTCTTTATCCATCTGTCCCCCTGGGGTGGGGAGCAGCAGGCCAGGGCTTTCTTGGCCTGCCCCGCCACCTAGTGGGCACAGAAAGAATGACTCCTCTTGGGATGGCCCAGCTCAGTGGGAAGCCAGGGAGGGGGTGTGGCCACGCAGGGCCAAAACCGGACCTCAATCCAGCCCCCTCCCACGGCGCCCACTAAGCAGCCCCTCCTTCCTCTGTCCCGTGATTCCAAGTCAGCTCTGGACAGCAGAGCCCAGGGCCCAGGAGCCAGACCCCGTACCCTGGGGGGCTCAGACCACCCAGCTGTGTCTAGGGGGCAGGGGATGGGCAGTGGGGGCAGTTAAGGCCAGTCATAATCCTGAGGGTTGTTATCAATACCCTCCCAACATCCCACAGTCTTGTTAGGGCCTGCAGGGGTACCCTGGGCTGGACCAGTCGAACCCAAGTGCTGAGAGTACCAGCAGAGCTGATGAGGGTCCAAGGCCTGGCCCAGAGACAGCCAGGCCAGCGGGCACTGGGCACTGACCTGGCTGAGTCAGCAGAGGCTGGTGACTGATGGACAATTCACTGACGCCATGCGACCCTGGGTCTCAATGGCCTCCCAGGCCCTTCCAGCTCTCATGACCGTTAATGGTGGCACCTAACACGTGCCAGGCACCAGGAGGGCAGAGACAAGAGCAGAACAGCCCCTGCCCTGCAGGAGCCTCCAGCACAGTCGAGGAGACAATGTGCTTGGACGGGATGACCACACGCATCTCTTGGGGACCTCAAGATGTCCCAGCGGCCATTCTTCTACCAGAGCCTCACAGCCACCGCCGAGATCACAGGCTGGCACCAGTTCAGAGAAAGAAGCTGAGAGCCAGGATCACGGAGCTAGGACGATGCCCAGTCTCGACCTCTGCCCTCTAAGCCAGCCAGCCTCAGAACCAAAGGCAGGATGTGGTCAGGGTCAGACCCAGAGCACCTGGGTCTGAGCCACCACACTCCCCTCCCCCAAGGGGGGGAGGGCCAGGGCCAGGCACTTCCTCTCCTCACATCATTTCCTCCCCTGTAAAAGGCGGGGAGGGTCAGACTAGACATCAATGGAGGAAGGACGGGCCTTGTGGACCCCAGGGCAGACTCAGGAGTCTAGGGTAGAAGTGGCAGTAAAGGCCAATTTAGGAAAAACCTGCCCCAAGGTCCAAGTGGCCCCCAGGGGAAGGGACTGGGGGGGGGGGTCCTCTCTGGAGCAGAGGCTCCCCTGGGGGCAGGCCAGAGGCTGGACTGAAGTCCTTCCACCACGCCCTCCCCTCGGGTGGCTTCCTGCTTCCTCAGACCCATCACCTGTGGGCTCCTGAGGAAGCGGAGGCCTTTGTCTTTCTTAGTAACCCCAGCACTTGGCATGAGCCTGGCCCAGGGAAGGCTGACCCACTGCCTCAGGGGAGCACAGGAGAGGCTGCCTCCCCCCAGGGATACCAGGGATGGTCAGAGGAAGTAGATGCCAAGCCACACCCTAACCAAAGGGGCAGCGCTGAGGAGGGCCACAAGGGAGAAGGGGCAGCCCCACCTGCGGCCTCTGCCCAGGCCACGCCCTGAACAAGAAGGACCATGTCAGGGCTCAGCCCCAGCCCCTCCCCGAAAACCCATCCTGCGCCTGGCTGATGAAGGCGGGAGGAAGTGCCCATGCGGCCTCTTGGGAACCACTGGATGGATGAGGTCACAGAGGCTTGGGGACTGCAGGGGCTTGCCCAGGGAGCCCCAGGCACCGACCCCATCTCTGTCGGAGAAGATGCCTCGGCCCCCAGGTGGAGAGTTGGCGGCCTATCAGAGGGGTGAGGGGTGCAAGGGAGGCTCCCTGGGCTTTGGTGCCAGATCCCACGTCTGCCCCGCTCCTGCGGGCTCACCTGACTTCCCTGGCACTTGTCCAGTGTGCCAACACATGTGTGGGTAGAAGGCACCCCCCGCTGTCAAGGCCCCAGCTCCTCCCCCCTCCCTTCTCGATGGCGTGCCTGGCAGACGCTCATCTGAGCCCAAGCCTGGGCCATGGGACGCCGGGGGTCCTCACCTCGAGGTCACCGAATAGGAGAGGGCTGTGGTAGGTGGTGGCCATTTTCCTGACAGTGTCCATGTGGATGCTGGCGTTTGGCTCTTGTCTGACTAGAAAGGGCAGACAGGATGTGGTCAGCGCGGAGAGCAGCCAACCCACCCCCATCAGCCGGGGGAGGGGCAGGAGGGGCATGGGCACCGTTGGTAGCAGGGCCTGGAGAAGCTGGGAAAGCCTCATCTGAACGGAGCCAGGGCAGACGATTCACACCATGACCCCAATAATGCAATGAAGCCAGTACAGAGAGGCCCTAGACTTTAGGGGGGCTGGCCTGGAACATCTAGAACCCCTCAACAGAGGTGGGAGATGGGAAGCAAATAGATGAAGGGAGGAAGGGTGGTACAGTGGAAAGGGCCCTAGCCCTGGAGTTCCAGGCTCTGGGTTCAAATCCCCTCCTCTGACACTTGCTGCCTGTGCTATCATGACTAAGCCACTCCCCGAGCCCCCCTGTAAAAGGAGGGTCAGCCTAACTGCTCTCTGGGGTCCCTCCCAGCCCAACACAGCACCGCTTACCTCCAGTGACCAGGAAGCACACCTTCCCCAGGAAGAAGCTAGCGTCCACATGAGGCAGGGATGCCTCCACGGTCCTCAGACTGGGATGGGCAGAGAAAGGGAGAGCACGGTTAGGAGACCTAGAAGCCACTGTCACCCAGGCTCTTACCCAGGCCCTCCCCCAGGCTGCTCCAGGAGGGGCCACAGGACAAGGGCCCGAGATGGCAGGAAGGGCCAGAAGCCAGCAGGCGGTAATCACTGGCTCCTCCTTCCTCTGCAGAGTGAGGGGGTCGACCCGGGGACTACGAGAACACAATTACAAAACGCTTTTCACACAAAGAAAGTCAGATCTAAATAAGTGGAAGAACATCTGCTGCTCATGGGTAGGCCGAGCTAATGTGACAAAAATGACAATCCTACCTAAGCTAATTTACTTATTCAGCACCACACCAATCAGACTACCAAGAACTTATGTTATGGAGCCAGAAAAAATAATAACAAGATTCACTTGGAAGAACAAAAGGTACAGAATATCAAGGGAACTAATGAAAAGAAATGCAGGGGAAGGGGACCTCGCCATTCCTGATCTTTATATATTATAAAGCAGCTGGGTACTGGCTAAGAAATAGAGTGGTGGTGGTGGTGATGGTGGGGCAGCTAGGTGGTGCAGTGGATAGAGCACCAGCCCTGGAGTCAGGAGGACCTGAGTTCAAATGTGGCCTCAGACCAAACACTTGACACTTACTAGCTGTGTGACCCTGGGCAAGTCATTTAACCCCAATTGCCAAAAAAAAAAAAAAAGACATAGAGTGGTGGATCAGTGGAATAGGTCAGGTATGCAAGCCACAGTAGTCAGTGACTGTAGTGATCTGCTATGTGATCAACCCAAAGAGCCCAGCTTCTGGGATAAGACCTCACTATTTAACAAGAACTGCTGGGAAAACTGGGAAAGAGCAAGGCAGGAACCAGGCACAGACCAGAATCTTATACCATGTACCAAAATAGAGTCAAAATGGGTACATGATTTAGATGTAAAGACTGACGCTATAAGCAAACTGGGAAAGCAAGGAATAGTTCACCTGTCAGACTCATGGAGAACAGAAGAATTCATGACCAAACAGGAGATAGAGAACATTATGAAATGCAAGACGGGTAACTTTGATGACATTAAACTGGAAAGTTTCTGCACAAATAAAGCCAATGAAACCAAGATTAGGAGGGAAGCAGAAAACTGGGAAAGAATTTTTACAACCAGTGTCTCTGATAAGGGCCTCATTTCCAAAATATATAGAGAACTAAGTCATTCCCCAATTGATAAATGATCAAAGGATATGAACAGGCAGTTCTCAGATGAAGAAATTAAAGCCATCTATAGTCATATGAAAAATGCTCTAAATCACTATTGATTAGAGAAATGCAAATCAAAACAACTCTGAGGTACCATATCACACCTATCAGACTGGCCAACATGACAAAACAGGATGATAAATGTTAGAGAAGATATGGGAAAATATGGACACTAATGCATTGTTGGTGGAGTTGTGAACTGATCCAACCATTTTGGAGAGCAATTTGGAACTATGCCCAAAGGGCTATAAAAATGTGCATACCCTCTGACCCAGCAATAGCACTTCTAGGGCTGTATCCCAAAGAGCTCAAACAAATGGGAAAAAGACCCACATGTACAAAAGTATTCATAGCAGCTCTGTGGTGGCAAAGAACTGGAAATTGAGGGGATGCCCATCCATTGGGGAATGGCTGAACAAGTTGTGGTATATGAATAGAATGGAACACTATTGTGCTGTAAGAAATGATGAGCAGGCAGATTTCAGAAAAACCTGGAAAGACTTGTACGGTCTGATGCTGAGTGAAGTGAGCAGAACCAGGAGAGCATTGTACACAGTAACAGCCATGTTGTGTGATGACTAACGTTGACAGACTCAGCCCTTCTCAGCAACACAAGGATCTAAGACATCTCCAAAGGTCTCATGATGGAAAGTGCTGTCCACATCCAGAGAAAGAACCATGGAGTTTGAATGCAGATTGAAGCAGACTATTTGCACTTTTTTTTCCCTGTTGTTTTGTTTCCTCTTTCTGGTGGTTCCTCCTATTGGTTCTAATTCGTACAACATGACTTACGTGAAAATATGTTTAATAGGAACGTATATGTAGAGCCTGTATCAGATTGTGTGCCGTCTTGAGGAGAGAGGTGGGGAGGGGGAGAAAAATTTAAAACTCAAAAGCTTACAGAAGTGATTGTTGAAAATTAAAAATTAATTAATTTTTAAAAAGAAAAAAAAGAAAAAAAAGCTAGGTGGGGCAGTGGATAGAGCACCGGCCCTGGATTCAGGAGGACCTGAGTTCAAATCCAGCCTCAGACACATAACACTTACTAGCTGTGTGACCTTGGGCAAGTCACTTAACCCCACTGCCTAGCCAAAAAAAAGAAAAAAGAAAACAAAAAAAAAAAGAATGAGGGGGTTGGAGCAGATGGTCAATCAATCAGTGAGCACTGATTAAGTGCCACTCTGTACCAGGCACAGGGCACACACAGCCAAAAATGGAAGGGCCCCTGCCCTCAAGGAGCTTAGTCACGCCCTTCCATCGGGGAGATGACTTATGGACATCTAACAACATGCCAAAGAAAGAGAAAGTAATTTTTTTTGGGGGGGGTCCACGTCCTCATGGAGAACATTGCCCTTGAGCGAGGCTTCGGTGGAAGTGAGGGATTCCAAGGAGCACAGGTGAGGAGGGAGGGCATGCCAGGCATGGGGGACAGCGTGGGCAAAGGCATGGTGATGGGAGATGGAATGTGCGGTGCAGGGAGATGAAGTACATGGGAAAGGTTCAAAGGGCTCTGCACATTCCGAGGACGCTGAGGTCACTGCTAGCTGGCGGGAAGGAGGGAGGCTTCCCAGGAGCCTCTGAGTGTGGCCTTAAACAGCTAGAGACCAAAGGGTAGGCACCTGGGAGAAGAGGAGGAACTGCTGGACATCGCTGAGGAACTGGACGACAGCGATGCTGGATATGACAGGGCAGGGAAGGCTTCCAGCACAGGAGATGGACTACCTGTGCTGAACTCCTAGAAGGGCCCACCTTGAGCCCCTCAGACCGGCAGGTGTCCTCAAAGGGCCTCGAATGCCAAAGTCACAGCTCTCCTGGCCCAGGGCACGGCGCCGTACAGACATTCCTTTCACCTGACCCTCCCCAGGGGCACAGTGACCTGTGGGGCAGGAGCATCACCCTACAGGCCTAGCGAGGCCATGTCAGGTGCCCAAGGTGCCAGGGTGGAGGCGTTTGGACGCCGCAGCGTGGCTTCTCGGGGCTATGCCTCCTCTCCACAATGGGAGCCCCTGCAGATTTTCTAGCCTGGGCTGCCTTGTGGGAAGGAGGCCTTCGTGGTGGTTGGGGCTGGTGGCACACGAGCAGGTCTCGGAGCTCAGGGGACTTCTGGAGATGGCTCAAAGGAGAAGCACCCAAAGCCTGGCTGTCCCCCTGCAATGGGAGGAAGCAGGGGAATGGGGCCATGGAGGCCCGGAAGGGTCACGCCTGGGGATGAGGCCCGCATGGGGCAGACCACCACCACAGCGGCTGATGTGGAGCCAGCCTCACTCCGGTACGGAGCACAGGGCAGGGGAGACCAAAGCTGGGCAGAGTCACCCCAAGCCACAGCTCCCCGCGAGGCTCTCACCCAGCTCCCAGAGAAGGTCCCCGGGACCCCGTCGGCCAAGGGCCTGAAGCCCCCCGCCCCCTGTTCTTACCTGTACTTGCTGCGGAGGCTGAGTACGAAGACGATGAGGTCAATGCGGGGCCGGAAGCATTCCCTGTCGGTGGGCAGAGGGAGACAGGAGGCCACGTGCCTGGCAGTGAAACAAGCGACAAGCAGGTCAGCTCGGGCGCGAGCCGGGCACCAGCCACCGCCCCCTCCGCAGAGGGGACAACGGCTCAGGGTCCGAGCCGGCCACACAAAGACGGTCCTTCCTCTGTTCCTGGCCAGCCAGTCAACAACCGAAAATGACACGCATCCATCATCGGCGATGACAGAAAGAGGAGGCCTGACCATCGGCTTTGCCCTGGCACGCGTCCATCTGACTGGCCGCTGGACCCCGAGGGCAGGCGCTCAGCACGGTACTCTACGCAGGGCTGGTGCTTCATAAACACTTTACTCATTCCTTCACTGCCTACAGAGGGTGAGCTATGTAGAGCAGCCACGCGGAGGAAGATGGCAGAGGCAGGCGGCATCCTGAAGGACCGGCACAACAGCGAGGCCGACTTGGCCCAAGGCCAGCGGACGCTGGGAGAACAGCCAAGCGCCCCAGAGTGGGCCGGGTTTCCACCCCCTTTCACAGGAAGTTCCCAAGCCCCCCAGACTCTGTCTTCAGGGCCAAGGAAGGAGATGACCGTCAGAAAGAAAGCCAGGAAAAGGACCAGGCCAAGGTCGCGCTGCAGGGGGCTGGGCCGCGGCCTTCCTTCACATGCGGCGAGAGGGGTGGCAGAGCCCCCAGGACCCCCAGCCCTGTCACCCCAACCCCCTAGCCTGCTGCTCACCTCCCCCCTTCCCCAACAGCCCATGGAAGTCCTCAAAAACCCCTTCGCTTCCCCTTCCTGGCCAACTTACACTTGGACCTTGGCACTGCCCTCACATGCCTTGATGATGGCCACGCCCAGCTGCTCCAGAAGCGTCTCCTCAGCACCTAACAGCTGACCAGAGAGAAGAGGAACCTGCTCAGGCCCTGGGCACAGCCTCCCTGGGCCAGGTGACCCTGGCCGGGTCCCTTCCCTTCCCATCAAACAAATGAGGGAGGCCACCTCCCCTACCCCCAGCCTCGTAAGGACTGAGGATGCCAGAGTCGTGACTCAGGCCAATGAGAGGCTCTCCGAAGCTGGCCAGCCTACCCAGCACAGGTCTGGGCCCAAGTTCTGGCTTGTCTGAGCATCTTCTACGAGGGGCCTGGGGCTTGGCTTAGAATCCTAGCCTTTTCACTATCTACGTGATCCTGGCCACTTCCCCAGGCAGGGTGTCTCAGTTTCCCCATCTGTAAAAGGAGGGCAGTTGGCCTCTTAGGTCCCTTCCAGATCTAGCCCTCGGATCCTAGGATCCTAAGCTACCTTTCCCCCCTGGGCCTCAGTTTCCCCAATCAGTAAAATGAGGAGCAGGTGAGATGGCTCTGGAGCTGGGACCCCATGACCTTCACCCAATGGGGGTTGGAAAGGAAGCATGTGCAAACAGCAAAGAGCCTGGTGCTGTAGGAAACGCAAAGCCCACGGGGCCAGGAGCCTCCTGGGCTGTGTGACCCTGGGCAAGTCCGTGCCCTGCTCTGGGGGCCAGACTAGATAAGGCTCTAGCTGCGGATCCCACACTATACACAAAAGGAATTCCAGGCCCGGCCTTTGGGGGGAGAACCTGCTGATGCCTGGCAGGCCTGGCGGGCGGTGCCATGGTCCAGGAGGCTGAGGTCCCCAGAGCTGTGGTTGCCCATTCCCCTCCCCCATGACCCCATCCTTCAGTACTCTGACCGCACCCTTCCCTCACCTTCACACTTTCCCACCCTGTGGCAGCTGGGTACACTGATAGACCTGACCCCATTTGGGGTTTTCTCGGCAAAGACACTGGAGTGGTTTGCCATTTTCTGTTCCAGCTCATTTTACAGATGAGGAAACTGAGGCAAGCAGGGTTAAATGACTCGCCCAGGGTCACACAGCTAAGTGTCTGAGGCAGGATTTGAACTCAGGTCTCCCTGACTCCAGACTCAGCACTCTATCCACTGTGCCACCTAGTTCAGCCCCCTTCTATGTGATTCTATTGGCGTCTCCCAGGGAACACCTCAAGTGTAGACTGCCCATAGAGAAGCTGGTAGTTTCCCCCAGGAGAATGTGAGTTCCCTGAGGGCAGGACCGACTTCCCCCCCTTGGACTTTGTAACCAGAGACTAGCACAATAGTGGCATACAGTAGGAGCTTAATAAATGCCTGCTGCCTGAATAAGGGCAGGGACTGTTTTATGAGTTGTCTTTGTATCCCCAGCGCTTACTTGCTAGGACTGGATGGGTCCCAAACCTCCACTTTACAGAGAGGGAAACTGAGGCCCAGAGGAAGTAAGGGGCTTGCCCGGGGTCACATCAGTACCCGAGGGCTCTCGTTAACAGAGCCAGGGGTAATTAACCCACGTTTCCCTTCTCCCCCCAGCCGTGCCCAACTGGATTCGTCCAGAGGCTTCCGAGATGCACGCCCCACCCCCGCCCGGGAGCGACCACGTCCACGAAAGTGGGGGGAACGAGGGTGGGAAAGAAACAATGAGATTTCATCTCGACCGCCAATCAGAAAGCAGGAACGGCTCCTCTGTGCCAATTGGCGGGTGGCTCAGTAGGAGGCTCCTATGATTGGCCTAGAGTCAGTTATTCCCGCCCCCACACCGCCAACTCATCCAATGAGCATGTTGCCCCCCCACCCCGCTCGGCTCGCCAGAGAGACGCCGCCGAACTAAGCGGGACTGTCAGTGGATGAATGGGGCGATTGAGGGTTGAGGGGGCAGTCTAAGAAAAGGACCTGGGGCCTCCCGGACTTACCAGGATGGTGGCTACATCCAGGGTCGGCAGCTTGTCCAGGGGTCGCAGCAGCGCCATCTTCACGCCAATCCGAGCCTATCAGTAGGATAGAGGTGCGAGTGCGCATGTGCACCCCGCTTTTAAACAGCGCTTTGGCGGTTTTTCTGTCTTTGATGACGTCACTTCCGGCTTCCATGACCCCCCCCCCCGAGGAGCACGGGGGCGGGGAAGTCTCTTTCCCATTACATCACCTTCTGGTGGGGCGGGGCTGCGGAGTCTGGGCTTTAAAGAGGCCGTTACCTGGTTTCTAAAAGTGCGCCCTCCTGGGGCATCCCCGTCCTGCGGTCAATAGGAAGAATCAGTAGTTCAACAAGCATTTATTGAGCACCTGCTGTGTGCCAGGCACTGTGCCAAGATGTAAGACAAACAAAACTATATCTAATATGTGTTATAGATAAACATATACACACATTAAAAAAGTGCAGAAGACCAGGGCTCTGAATTGCTCCTAACCCTTCATACCTCTGGGACCTCTCCCTGAGCCTCAGTTTCCTCATTTGTTACAAGGAGATGGTCTTGATACCACCTGACATACCCAGGTGGTTTCAATTCAACAAACATTTAGTAAGCAACTGCTGTCCTCAGGGCCCTGGGGAAGATCAAGTCAAATCAAACAGCATTAATGAAGTGCCTACTGTGTGCCAAGCACTGTGCTAATGAGGTAGGCCCAGAGAATGCAAACGGTGTTTGGTAAGAAAAGTACTTTGTGTATGCAGTTATCCCTTCTACATTGCAGGGGTTGGGAGTGGGGGAGGTAGAGGCAGGGCATTCCCCCCCACTTGGAAAATCCATATAAAATTTTTTGGCTATCCCTTTGTACCAGAGCAGAAGTCTGAATTTTGTCTTTTTCTTCTATGGGGTGTTTACAGGACCTTGTTGTAAAATTTGGGTTAAGTGTTTGGTCATAGGCCTGTGGCTTCTGCTAAGCTCCCCAAAAATTACCATTGAATTTCTTAAGCTGATTCATGATGTATTGAAGCCGTAATGGAGAAAGGTGAGTCACAGTGTGGAAGAGATAACTGTACGGTACCATGAAGCGCTCTTATTGGGAGCTCTAGCTACCTCTGAGACCTTGGCCACATCCTTTCCTCTCTGGGCTAAAGCATGGTGCCATGGAAAGAGGGCTGGCCTTGGATTCAGAAGGACCTGGGTTTGAAACCTGCCTCTCCCTCATCGCTGCCTATGTGACCTTGGGCAAGTGACTTCTCCCTGGGTCTCATCTATGAAAGGAGGGAGTTACCAGGGCCTTCTCCAGCCCTCAGAACAGAACGGTGAACCTTCACCATTCCAAAGCTCTACTGCATGGGGCCTTCCTCCAAAGGCACTGCATGGATGAGGCTGCTTTGGGATGGACAGGCCACCAGGTGCTGCTGAGCAGACTGCTTCTTGGAGCCTCTGAGCCCTCTCCAGCTCAGTGCCAGAGCACAACCTTCAAGAACCCTGAGGACATTATCCAAAAAGCATTTATTAAGTAACATGTGGGGGCTCTGTTGCCTGGCTGGGGTGATAGGAAGCAAAAAAATGAAGCAATCCTCGACCCCCGGAACTTGTGCTCTAGCTGGGGAGACTCAAGATCATCACTCAGGGCTCTGCTCAGGAGCAGCTTCTCATTCCCAGTCAGGTGGCAGTGCTAGCCCCCTCCTCAGGGTGTTTACTGGCCCATCTCAGAGTCTCCCCTATTAGAATCCTCCTGTTCTTTATTCTGTCTTTACGTGCCCACTGTTACAGAGAGTGCCCTCCACATGGATGAATCCCCAACCCACCACATGAAGGTGTTAAGCCAGGGGATCTGTCTATGGTCCTGATCCCACCTGGGCTGTGAATTTGCCAGGTTAATTCCCTCCCTCTAAGCCTCAGTTTCCTCATCTCTAAAATGAGCTCCTACCAAATGGTAGGAGACAGGAGGCCTCTGAGACTTGGGAGCTCAGGCCTGGCTGCTGCTGTCCTTCCAGATCTGACAGTCCCAGGGGCCAGGGCCCTGACAGAACAGAATCTCGGGATAATAACATTGCTAGTGCTAGCTAGCGTAGGGCAGACGCAAGAAACGTTTGTTGAATAAATGAATGAGTGAATGAACAAGGGAGCCCACCTCTGAACAGGAATTTCCTCTGTAACTTCTAAGGTAAAGTGGTCTTCCAGCCTCCACTTAGAGACCTCCAGTGAAGGGGGACCAACGCACTTCCTGCTAAGTGGCCCATTCCACTTGGGCTAGCTCAAATTGCTTGGAAGGTTGGGGTTTCCCTCCCATTGCTGCTTAGCTCTGAGGCCAAGAGGAGTGCATTGGACCCTCTTCCCCAGGCAGCCCTTGGGATCCCTGATACTGTCCTGTCCAGCCCAGGCCCTTCCAGACTGTATTTGATGCAATGAAAACCACCCCCTCATCTGATCCTCCTCTGGCCTGGCTGGCCTCTTCCTCTTTCTCAATGGCCTTGCTAGAAAGTGGCCTCCAGAGCTGAACACCACGTTGCCATCATTCACTGGAGGGAGAGCGACAGAGAGCCCCAGCTTCCTTGGCTCTGCACACAATCCTTCACCGAGATCATCAGCTCGGAGCTGCAAGGGAACTCAGAGGCATCCGAGCCAGTCCGGATAAGGAACCAGACCCAAGGGGAAGAGTGATTTGCCCAAAGGGCGAGAGTCAGAGCAGGGCTTAGATGCCGGTCTTCTGGCTCCAAACTCGACACTTTTCACTTAACCACACTGCCTCCCAGGCTCCCTCTCCCTCCCCAGATTCCCTCCTATGCTTCCTTCCTTCTCACTCCAGCTGCCTCGACTGGGTTCCTTCCTGGTAGAGACTTGCCGCTGTCAGGTGACCTCCAGTCAAATGTTAATGGCACCTTGGGGGCTGAGGGGACCAGCCCTGGCTTTGGAGTCAGGAGGCCGGCTTGGATCCCAGCTCTTCCACTTACAGTTGTGTGGGAAGGGGCTTGGAGATCATCTTACCCAAGCCTCCCAATTGGCGCATGAGGAAGCTGGCACCAGAGACTTGCCACACAGCCCTTAAGTTGCAAAAATGAGATTTGAATCCAGGTCCTCTGACTCTCTGAACTCACACGCTGTCAGTGGCAGTAAGACCCAGTTCTCCTGAGGCCCAAGGCTCTACCTTCCTTGATCCTGTGAGCTCCAGAGCTTGAGTCCCTTGACCCTCCTGACAAATAGGATGAGTACTGTACATGGTCATACCTAGCCCCACATGAACTGCGGGGGTCTCAGCCCAAGGGTCCCTGCCAGCCTAATCCAGCCCCTCCCTCCCCTGAAGACAGAGCTGCTCCCCCTCTCCTCACCATGTGACACCTCCCCTCCTTTCTCCCCATCACAAGCTCTGTACCACGTACATAAATGAGCCAAGGTTGGTTTCCCCGGCAACTGTGGATGAAGCCCTTAATCTACCCCAGCCTGCTGATTGGTGGAGGTAGATCCCGCCTCCTTCCATCCTGAGATAGGGAGAGAAGGGAGCTGACCAGGGCGCTAGAGCCTGGATGTGCTGGTGGACCAGTGAAGTGGATCTCTCTCAGATCTGACTGAGCCCTGGAGCTCCATCCTTCAGGACGGGCATCCATCTCGGCATTTCTTCCCATAGCCCCAGCCCCCCGGTGTCTCTTGCAAATGGTGGTATCTCCAAGGAGTGCCCCTAGGCCACGGCTAAGCCAAGAGCTAAGCCTGGATCAGGGACTGAGCATACCCACAGCTTGAGGTGAGTCAGGGGCAGGGGTGGGAAGAGCTCTGGTGGGCAGGGAGAGATGCCAGCTGGGGCTTGCCTGCCCAGGGGCCAGACTGAATCAGGGAGGTTCATTTCTAGGGGCTCTGCAGAACAAAGGGACCAGAGATGCCAGCTAGTGCCACCTGAACCCCAAGAAGCTAGGAGAAGATGCAGTGGGGGGAGGTGGTACCCCCTCTCCCGGGAATGTGACCTTCCTCCCATATCCCAAGGGTTGAAGAGGCAGCCAGGTATAGTGAAAACAACCAGGGTGCACTTAGAGACCTGGATGCCATTTCTGGCCGGACTATACCTGCTGTGTGACCTTGGACCAATCACTTTACCTCTGAAAAGTATGATGGGGTTCACCATCCCTGATGTGCCTGGGCCCCACGGCTGAAGAGAGTGGTTTGTTACTCCTATTCTGTCTGCATGGGAATTGTTGTTTTGAGGATAAACCGTCAAACACGTGGTGAATCTCCTCAGCCTGAGGAGCCCCAGGCACTGAAGGACTGGCAGGAGGGTTCCCAAGGTCTGTCCAGCAAAATCCAACCCACAGCGCCCTGAGAATGACCCCCCCCTTGTCTCCTCCAAAACTCCCCACTGTCCAGCTTGGGGGTGGCTGGACAGGAATGACCTCGGAGCACCTGCTGGGTTCCTTCCAGGAAGTATAGGAGGCATGTTTGGAATCTGTGTTTGGCCCTCTAGGGAGACTGTTGGTCTGTGGAGAATGCGTGAAGGGAGGGCCAGGGCACCTGGACCCCTGTTCCCCAGGGCTGCCCCCTGATTCTAGGCAACCACCCCTCCGGGTCTTAGCTTTATCCCTGGGGAAAGGGAGCTCTGGGAACGGCTGTGTAGAGCCTGGCGATCTTCGGAGAGGGAAACAAGCCGTGAGCTCCCCACTGGGGATGGGGCGGGCGGAAGAGCCCTGACCTTTTCCCACCAAGTCCAGGATGTTCGAGACAAAGTCCTTTTCTTCCCTACTGGCCAAAGAGATTCTTGGGGTCAAGACACCGGCCCCTCCCTTTCAGTGGGCCACGCTCAAGTTCTCACAAACACTGGCTCTCTTTCCCTCAGGGCTTTCAGGTTACAAAGCACTTTCTCACAACTCAGAGGTAGGTTGTGCAAGAATTGTTACTCCCATTTTATAGATGAGAAGGCTGAGGCTTAGAAAGGTTGACTTTGGTCACCAGCTGGGTAAGCGACAAAGGCAGGCTCTGTACCTAGCCTTGTGGACTCCAAGGACTCCTGACTAAGCATCTCAGGAAATCAGTGAGGTCAGTGATCTCCCCCTCCCCCCTCCCCCACGCCCCCACCCTGGCGTCCTCTGGCCCAGAGCCCTGAGTGGATCCTCTCGCTTCCTCCTCCGCAGTTTGGCGATGGTCCTCACCCAGGGTCGCCGTCAGCCCCAGCTGGCTGGAGTCCTCTCTCTGCCGCCCCCGCCCCGCCCCCCACCCCCACCCCCCAGCACTCTCCTGTAGCAGGAACCTTAGGACCTCAGCGCTATCAGGTTGTGGCTCGATCCCTGCCTGAGCAGGAAGTCTGTCCCCAGCAGACCAAGTCCTGCCCCCAGTGAGAGGCCCCTGGGGATCAGTTGGCAGGACCACAGAGGCCTATGTCTACACAGTGGATGGGAGCTTGCCTGGTAAAAGGCCCAGTGGGATGAATGTGCCTGAGCGGGGAATAAGAGTGCCAGACCTGGCTTTGAATCCCGCCTCTGACGCGCACTGGCTGCCCCCTCTGAGCCGCAGTTTCTTCAGCAGCAAATGGACGAGATAAGGCTTTTCGGACTGTGTGAGGAGTGGTTATGTACAATGGTAACTTGTAAATGTGCGTTAACGGTGTGATTCCTCCCTCTGTCCTCAGTGGCAGCAGCAGAGGCCAGGGCCATGCCGCATTTTCTGGACTGGTTTGTGCCCGTCTATCTCATGATCTCCATCCTCATCCTGGTTGGTTTCGGGGCCTGTATCTACTACTTCGAGCCCGGTTTGCGGGAAGCCCACAAGTGGCGAACACAGAGACCCCTGCTGGACCGGAACTTTCGCAAGACCCTGATGATCCAGGACAACCTGGCATTTGGGAGCCCCGATGTCTGATGGGTCTGGGGCCGAGACAGATGGGGGGACAGGGATCCCTGCCTCGGGGTCTGGTCCTGTGCTAGCAGCCTCTAAAGCCACACCCTTGCCGGTCCTGCTCCCAGCTCCCTGCCTCTGCCTCAGTGACCCTTTCTAATCGCAGGAGTGAGGTTTGGCCTTCAATCGGTCACTTACTCCCCTGGATGCTGCAGCATCGGCCACCCAGCTAAGGCCCCGCACTCTTTGCCAGCCCAGGATCCCCCCAGAGCGGGAGGCAAACTGCCAGCCCCACTCTGAGGCCTGAGGTCCCCAGGCTTGGCCAGAGCTGCCGTTTCTTCTCCTCTCTGTCTCTTCTTGCTAGCTCAAGCCAAGAAGCCTCAGGAGGGGAGAAGCAGACGGGCAGGCTGGGGTCCCTCGTGTCCACTCCTCCTCCACTCCCAGAGTCCCACAAGAGGGGGCGACTTCTGGGGAACAAGGACAAGCCCTGCATCTGCCTTTCGTGCCAACCGAGTGCTGCTGCTGGTTCATTCTCAAGTATCTGAGCATCCCCCACCTCTCGTGCCAATAGCTTACTCCTCAAATGTGAGTCATTCCCCTCTGCCACAGCGGGCAAGCAGCCAGCCACTGCCCATCAGCCGTCACTCTCCCCGCATTCTGTGTGGGGCGGGGTGGGGTGTGAGGGGCCCCGGACACTGCCATTTCTATTTGCTGTGAGCCACGGCTTCCCGGTTAGGGAACATCTCCCCTGTCCCCAGACACACTCAGCATATGAGGCGATCCCTGCCTTGGGGTAGTGCCCCAGCCACGCAGCAGGCCCAGGAAGGGGACACAGACTCCCTATAGTCCGTGTAGGCACAAGCTGGGGGTAGGGGGTCAGAAGCCTGGGATGTTGGCAGCCCTATCCAGGCTGGGGAGAGGGCATTCCCAAGATGGGTATTCTTGGTTCCTGGGTACGTAGCCCTGGCTTTTAGGAGGTCTCAGGGGCTCTGAGAACCTTCCTCCCAACCCAGCAATGCCTCCTTCCCCAGGGGAGAGAGGGTTCGGGCTTGGAATAGAGAAAGGAAGAACTTGGAGGGGAGGCCAGGCCATCCCCATCACCCTTTTAAGGGTGGACATGGTCTGGAGAATGGAGGAACCTTCCTTCTTCTTCCCTGGGACCTGGCCTCTGACCTCAATTTGTCCCTCCTCTATACTGGGCTTTAGGTCGTGTGAAAGGGTCTTGTTGCCGCACGGGCTGGGGTCAGTGTGGGGACGGAGGTACCTCTGGTCTAGCGGATGTGTGTGAGTAGTAGGGCTTGTGGGTAGGTGCATGTGCCCTATAGCTATCAGGGTGAGTGTGATCCCATGTGGGTGTGAGTGCATGGGAAGCATCAACAGAGGGACCTGAAAGGGTGCGTGCGTGTATGTGTGTGTGTGTGTGTGTGTGTGTGTGTGTGTGCTCGTGGGTAAATCCGGACATACATGTGTGTGACTTGGAGAGTATGCAGTGGGTGTTTATACAGAAGAGGATAAGAGGTATGTGCAGGTATGTCTAGGAGAATATGGCTATGAGTGTAAGTGAGAGGTGTAAGTGAGACTGGAGGGAGTGGGGGGGTGGTGTTGATGAGGGCAGACTGGGCCCTAGGGCATGCTCAAAGTTGTTCTGCTCTGGGAGGAGGCCTAGAGGCCTGATGGGTCTCCTCAGGCCATAGAGGTGAGATGTGAAAGGTGGGTCTTCATCCCAGGAAGGAATGGGGGCCTGGGGAAGAAGCACGTTCTGGCCTCTCCAGATGCCCCAGGCTCTTCTATGAGCCCCTTCCAATCCAACCCTGAAGCTGAGGACCTAGTCCAAGGCTGAAGCCCCCGGTCAGTCGATGCCTCACTGCCAGGGTCCTGTGCTGCCCTGTCTGAACCATACCTGGGTCCACATCTCCAGCACCACAGCTCTGCTCACCTGCACTACCACCGACCCCCAGCCCTGCTGCTGCCTCTTGTGGAGAGACTTCAGTCGTGAATGTGAAATGTGGCTATGCAACTTGTCTCCCCTCTCCCTCCCTCCCTCCTCTGTCTGTCTGTCTCTCTCTTTCATTGTCTGTTAAAAGACGTTAATAAATGCCTTCTGGTCCCTCCACTCAGCCGTCTCAATATTACCTAAAACCTCCGAGTCACATCCCTACCCTCCTCTGCTCCTCATGTCAAACTGGGGAGGTGAGCAGGGCAGCTGAAATCAGCCTTGTGTGACAGATGAGGAAACTGAGGCAGAGGTCAGAAGAGACCTACCCAGAACAAGTAGCAATCAGGGACAGGGCAGGGATTAGAACCCCGGGCTCCTGATTCCCAAACAAGGGTCTTTACACCCCAAGCACTGATGTAAATGTGTGCTAGGGGACAGGGGAGGGAGACCCAACGATATGGATGACGGTGATAATGAGTCTCCTGATTCCCTCTGCCCTTCAAGTGTGTGAAGTGCTCCCCTCTAGAGAGCCCGGTGAGGCGACAGTCATGTTTGCTCATCCCCATTTGACTGAGGAGGAGATGGAGGCTGAGAGCAGGCAGGGCCTTTCCCAAGGGCCTCCAACAAGGAAGGGTCCCAGGTGGGATGGGAGCCGAGTCTCCTGACTCTCTCCACCCCCCAGGCCAGGGAGAGAGGGGAGTTCAGCCGACAAAGGAAAGGGGGGAGGAGAGAAGAGAGGAGAGGGGGAAGCCGGAGGCGCCTGGGGCCAGACCCAGGGGAGAGGGATTCCAGGGTCTCCCCTCTTGTTATTGGGGTCAGCTGCCTGTGCAGGGAATCCTGCAGGCCAGCAGGGAGGGAGGGAGAGGAGGGGATGGGCCAGAGTGGGGAGGCACGGAAGGAGACAGAAGAGGAGGGAGAAGTCCGGGGGCCACTATCATCTGACCTTGTGGCTGAAGCCAGGGCCAGGGCCCATGACCAGCACTGCCCGGCTCTGATGCGGCAGAGAGGACATGACCCTCTCTGGGTGGCAGCTCTCGGGGGACCCAGCCCAGCCATTCCCACAGCCCCATGGGCAGCTGAGGAGGCAGACTCTGTCAAAGCCCCCAGCCCACCCAGCAATGCCTTCCCCAGGGAAGTCAGTTTGGAAGGAGCCTGGGGCCCACTCTCTACATTTACTGAAGTGTCACGAAACAGAACCCACAGACCTAACAGCAAGGGTTTGGGGGTGGGGGGAAGCACACGTATTGACTCAGGAATCCAAGGTCTGGGTTCAAATCCTGGCTCTTCCACTTACTGTGTGACCTTGGATGAGTTCCTTGAGCTGTCTGGGCCTCAGTTTCCCCATATTAAAAAGGGGAGGGGGAGCAGACCATATGATTTCTAAGATCTCTTCTTGCTCTAACCCATGATCTCATGAAGGCCAGATCAAGCGTTTCCCTTTAGCAAGACCCTACCCCAGACGTAGGGGGATGGCTGGGCTGTCTCAGCACAGACAGCTGCCTTGTCCCTGGCTTCCTCCCTGGCCCTCCCCCAGCCAGCAGCCTGGCCTTTGGCTCAGGGAGCCAGGATTCTGGTGGATGAGGGCTCTCTTTCATTTGCCTCCCACTCCCTGGGGCTGGCATGCTGTGGGGTGGGGTGCAGGAGCCTGGGGCCTTGTTGTGAAGCCACAAGGAAACAGAGGCCCAGGCCCGGGCCTCTGCTACTTACCGCCTGGGGGCCCTGGGGCAGAGGGGGTCACTGAGCTGGCACCCAGTGGCCCCAAGGAGAGCCTAGCTGTGCCCCAGTTTAGACCCACATGCCCCCAGCAGCTCCTAGCAGCCCTTGGCCCAGCCCTCCTCAGTGCAAGGTAAGTATTAAGGGCTGCGGATGGAAGCTTGGTCAGGGGCTTGGGGGCTTAGGGGTCAGGGCTTTGTCTAGCAGGACCAGAGCTTCCTAGATTTAGATCTGAGGGGACCTAAGCAGCTGTGGAGTCCACCCTTATTTTATAGATGAGGGGATTCAGGCACAGAGACAGTCAGGGATTTCTGCAGGGCTCAGAGAGAGGGGCTTGGGACAAGAACATGGCACGCTAAAACACGGCCCAGTGGATGCTCCCTAGAAGCAGCCCACCAGCCCAAACCAAGGAGTAGGGGAGGGCTGGTGGATAAAATCTTGGGGAGGGGGAGAGAGGCAGATAAGGAAGACTTCCTGGAGGAGGCGACAAGGTTTGAAGGATGGAGCCTAGATCTAGAGCTAGCGATCTCTGAGGTCATCTCTTCCAGGTTCCTCATTTTTCACATGGGGACCCGGAGCCCACAGACGTTAAATGACTTGTCCAAGGTCGCACAGACAGCAAGTAGCAGAGATGAGATTCAAACCCAGGTCTCTGGCTCCAAAGCCTCTTCCCACTTTTACTGTATTGCCGAATGGGCAGGATTTCAACTGACGAAAGGGGTGAAGGAAGGCCTTCTGGGAACAGGGGGTGTATGGGAGCTAGATCGCTCAAGCAACAGCATCGATCAGACCGGGTCCCAAGGCTCTCTGCTCAGCACAAGGAAGAACAAAGCCAAGTCCCTGCCCTCCAGGAGCTTACATTCTATCGTCAGAGAGGAGGAGTACTGAGATAACTGTATACTGAGTCTTTACACAGTGAATGCAAGCTACTCTGGTGGGTTTGGTGGAAGCGAGGAAGTGATCCTACTATGTGCCAGGCTCTGTGCTGAGTGCTGGGATACAAAATGAGGCAAAAGTCGAGTCCCTGCCCTCCAGGAGCTTACACACACACACACTCATGCACACATGGACACACTCACACACAGAGTACAAAGTTCACAGAGGGCAGTAACGTGAGATAAGGTTGGAAGGGCTGGGCGGCCGCCATATTGAACACTGACCAAGGATGGTGAGCTGGACTGGGTAGGTAATGGGCAGTTGCACAACCAGAGCCGTCAGAGTCTTCTGAGAGTGTGAAGGATGGCTTGGAAGGGGAGAAGGTGGAGGCAGAGGCTGCGACAGTGGACCGGGGAGGGCAAAGAGGGCCTTTTACTGGTGTTGAGAAGGCCAGGCTAGGGAAGGAAGGGGATTCCATGAGACCCAGCAAGGGACTGGACGCTGGGAAAGGAGAGCTGAGAGTTATCCCCTACACTGTGGCTTACAGGGGTGATGGGTCCAAGGTCAGAAACAGTGAAGTCCCAGGGAGGAGCAGGTTTGGGGGAAGACAATAAACTTGTTCTTGGTATTAAAACAACATCTTGTAATGTGGAGGTGTTTTGCATGACTTCACACATATAATAGGTGTCATGCTGCTTGCCCTCTCAATGGGTGGGGAGAAGCTACAGGGATGGAGAGAATTTGGAACTCAGAAAAAAAGGGGAGGAGGAAACCACACTGTTTGTTCTCCAGGACTACTGCAGTGGGGGCCTTGGGTCAGAAAGTCCCGGGTTCCAATTCTGCCTCTGACGCTTAGTAGCCATATGATTCTGGGCAAGTCCCCTAACTTCTCAGAGCCTCAGTTTCCTCATTTGTAAAATGAGAGAAGTCCCTTCCAGCACTAAATCTTTGAGTGATTGTTAGTGAGACTTTACAATGGAGGTGAAGGGCTCGGCTCACATAGCAAATATCAGTAGAGAAATTTGAATCCCGGACACAAGCTCCTTTGATAAGATTTAGGACTGGAAGAGACCTTAAAGATCCCATAGTCCAGGCCCCTTATTTTACAGAGGAGGAAACTGAGGCCCAGAGAGGTGAAGGGTCTTGTCCAAGGTCACACAGCAATGCTGGGCGTAAAACCCGGGTCCCCAGAGTCCTAGGTCTGTGCTACCTTCTGTACCTCAGGGGCACTGGTAGCTCCTGGCATTGGCTGCTGGAGGGTAGAGTCGGGGGAACCCCTCCCTCCCAGCCCAGGGTGCCTTTGCTGTTATGGGAGACCTGACCACTAAAGGAGGAGATGGCACTTCCTAGTGTGTCCCACGCTGCCTCCTTGGTGACTACCCACCTGGCCCACGCCTAGTCCTGGCAGTGGAGATAGAAGCTTGAGATCTCCACCTCTGGGTTTAAGCAAATCATTGCCCTTCTGGGAACCTCAGTTTCCTTCTCTGTAAAATGGGGACAATTGCACTCCCTCCATCACTGTACCGTGGAATGGAAAATGCTTTGTCAAATTTAAAGCCCCTTGGGGCCGCTAGGTGGCACAGTGGATAAAGCATCAGCCCTGGAGTCAGAAGGACCTGAGTTCAAATCTGGTCTCAGATCAGACCCTTGACACTAGCTGTGTGACCCTGGGCAAGCCACTTAACCCCAATTGCCTCACACATACACACACAAAAAAATTTTAAGCCCCAGAAAAAGTTATCAGTGATATGGGGTGTCAGGTTGCAAGTGGAGGAAGCTAGGCTGCAGAGTCACAGAAGAGATGCATGTGCGTGTGGGGGTATTAAGCTGACATGCCCTGTTCTCAGGCCCCTCCCACCTCTGACATTCCCTGTTCTCAGGCCCCTCCCAGCCTTGACATTCCCTGTTCTTAGGTCCCTCCCACCTCTAACATTCCCTGTTCTCAGGCCCCTCCCAGCCTTGACATTCCCTGTTCTAAGCTCCCTCCCACCTCTGATATTCCTTGTTCTTAGGTCCCTCCCAGCTCTGACATTCCCTGTTCTAAGTTCCCTTCCAGCCCTGCCATTCCATGGTCTAAGGCCCTCCTAGCCCTGATATTCTCTGTTCTAAGTTCTTTCCCAGTTCTGACATTGTGTTCTAAACTCTCTCCCAGTTCTGACACTCCTTGTTCTAAGCTCCCTCCCAGCTCTGACATCCCCTGTTCTCAGGGCCCTCCCAGCTCTGAGCTTCCCTGTTCTGAGGCCCCTCCCAGCTCTGATATTCTCTGTTCTAAGTTCCCTTCCAGCCCTGACATTCTCTGTTCTAAGCTCTTTCCCAGTTCTGACATTGTGTTCTAAGCTCCCTCCCAGCTCTGACATTCCCTGTTCTCAAGCCCTTCCCAGCCCTGACGCTCTCCGTCGGGGGCCCCTGCCCTGGAAGGTTTTGAGGTGCAGGAGGGATCCAGCAGCCGCCCCGCTGTGGTTTCTGGGAAGCTCCCTGTCTTTACAGGCAGGGTTGCTAAGGCTGGGGAGGGGGCGGGGCTCTGGCAGAGGAGGCCCCGCCCCAGGAGGAGGGGCCTGAGCGACTGCAGAGCCTGAGGTGCCCAGTAG